TCTATAGACATCTTGTGCAACCACCTGAATTCCATAGCAGATGATGTCACCTATACATGCCCTATAAATGGGCAAGGCTTCAGGTACACCGGAACGCTTTTTCTGCATCAATACCCCGTGCTACAAACATGGCTGTCTCAGTGCTTCGGATGACAATTATCCTGGGACTGCTTGTCTTAATGCTGACTTGCCATGCTGGTAAGTGTTTCCAACCGCAGCTCATGCAGCGTGCAGAGTTAGCCATGATCTGACTAATGGTGGCGCTGATCCAGAATGTAAAGGAGAGAGAGGGGGAGGGACCTTTGGACACTGGGCTGGGAGACCAGAAGCAAATCTTTTAACAAAAAGTAAGCAGAATTTTTATTCAAATGTGCTTCAGTTACAGCCTCTATCCTCCATGAATGTATGAAGTTTGAAATGATTTCTTTCTTATATATACCCATGTGATATAGTCACACTATTTATTCTATTATAAAATCCCTCAAGAGCCAGTGGTGTGTATTTTTTGATAATTATGACTAATAATGTTTAGAGGTTAAGATTATATACTCTGGAATAAGACTCTTAGGCGTCCACCACTAATCAGAAATGTGTCTTCAGGAATGTAATTTAACCTCTTGGGACTTCACACGTAAAAGAAAAATGTCAATAGTTAACTTTCTCATAAAATTATCATGGAAATTAAACAAAAGAAACAAAACAAATTGGGTAGGTATTGGGTCCATAACAAGCATCTAATAAATATTAACTGTTATTGTTATCATGTATTAATTATCTCATTTGATTCTCATAATAATCCTTTTATGGAAAAATACAGTTTTATAATTTCCCTTTTTGAAGGTTAATAAACCAAGCGTGTAGAGGGAAAGTTACCTGAGCATTAGACACAGGTAGCAGTGGCACACCCGCAACTGAAACCTAAGTCACTCAATTCTTTCCATTGTAACCAGGCATCTGCATTTTCGTGTCTGTTCCAAGCACAGAAAGGACCTCACAGCAGCACGCACAATGCTCATTAATTAATTTATTTTTGGTCTGCAGATGATGGTGAGCTCTTGACTTGTCTCTATTCAGAACGATAGGTCAGAAAACACAGACAGTAGAAACATTGCCCTTTAAACGGTTCCAAATGTAATTGGGCAGAACTCACATGCTTTGCCTACCCACTGTCTGCTGGCACAACACATAGGCACTCCAACAGTATTACCATAG